TGTTATTCATATTGGATTGGATCTGTCTGTCTACACCTACAATTAATTGTTCCTAACTCAACCTACACAGTATGTATGTAAGCTCTATTCTTTATGAAATATCTCCATACGTATGAAGAAAGCTATGTGATCCTCCTTTAAGCCTTCCTTTCTCTTTTCAATATAACAAATTCTTTCAACCACTGTTCAAATGATACGGATCCCAGATCATTTAATAGCTTGATCCTCTTAGAACCTACATGCAACTTTTTTATTGTAAAATAAAATAATTTTTAAAGATAAAATAATCTTTCAGATTTAGCTTACATCAGGATTTAAGGAAAGTAGTGCAAATGTTCATGGATGTGCCTCTCCGGTGAAGCTCAGTTGATTGAGCATTGTTCCATGCACCAGGAGGTCTCTGGTTTGATTTCTGGGCAGGCTGGGTTGCATGCTCCATCCCCAGTATGCGGGTGTGCAGGAGGCAGCCAATTAATGTTTTTATATTTCTCTTCTTCTCCCTTTCTCTCTCTGAAACCAATAAAAAACATTTTTTAAAGTATGACTTTTAACAAATGTTCATGGATTACAATATGTCAGTTTGGCATAGTTTTGAGCAGAGTGGGTAAATATAGATGTAAGTTGTGGCAGGTTGATAATGCCCACTCCACGCCCCCTGCCAAAGATATCAAGTCCTACATCTGGTGACTAGAGATGTTAACTTATTAGGAAAAGGGTCTTTTCAGATATGATTAAATTAATGATTTTGATATAGAGAGATTATCTTGGATTATCTGGGTGGCCCTTACATGCAATCACAAATATTCTCATAAGAAGAAATCAGAAGGAGATGCCACACACACAAAAGAAAAGTAGTGTGACCATGGAGGCAGAAATTGAATGATGCAGACACAAGCCAAGGAATGCTGACAGCCACCAGAAGCTGGAAGAGTCAAGGAATCAATTTTCCCCTAAAGTTTCTGGAGGGAGTACACCCTGCCAAAACATTAATTTCTGCCTAGTGAAACTTATTTTTGACTCTTGACTGCCAGAACTAGAAGAGAGTAAATGTGTGCTATTTTAAGTGAATAGATTTGTGATCGTTTGTTACAGAAGCAATAGGAAATGAATGCATAAGTATATATTCAAGTACCCTACATGAGCCCAAGCATTGAAAGACATTCAGGCTACTTCTGGGATAGATTCTGTGCTCTTGAGAACTTAGGTCAGCTGTGGAATCAACTATGATTGGTCTGTAAGAACTTGATAGAGGATGCCACAAAAAACTAGAACTCCATTTCTCCTTACATAGGAGTTGCAAAAATATGAGGACTCCTTGGTGAGTTGATAGCAATAGATTCCTGATTGATAAGGGTTGAGGCATGATATAGCTCCTTTGGACCAAAAACAAGCCTCTCCCCCTCTCCAACCCCCACCCCACCCAAAAAAACCCAAGCATAATTATACAGGTGAAATCAAGTTAACCATGAACATGTAGCACAGTATCGAATGGGAAAAGTTGCCACAGAAAGGTAATGTGTAGCTAATAGCCCACCAATTTTGTGGTGGTTATAAGTTTGGGCTTATAGACCACTTTTTAAAAAAATATATATATATATTTTAATATACTTTTTATTGATTAAGATATTACATATGTGTCCTTATCCCTACGTTACCCCCTACCCCCCCCCATGCTCTCACCCCCCTGTTGTCCGTCTCCATTGGTTAGGCCTATATGCTTGCATATAAGTGCTTTGGTTGATCTTTCCCCCTTACCCCGACCCTCTTCTACCTTCCCTCAGAGGTTGGACGGTCTGAACAATGCTTTGCTGTCTCTGGATCTGCTTTTGTTCATCAGTTTATGTTCATTATATTCCATAAATGAGCGAGATCATGTGATATTTATATTTCTCTGACTGGCTTATTTCACTTAGCTTAATGCTCTCCAGTTCCATCCATGCTGTTGCAAAGGGTAAGAATTCCTTCCTTTTTAACCACAGTGTAGTATTCCATTGTGTAGATGTGCCACAGTTTTTTAATCCACTCATCTGCTGATGGGCACTTAGGCTGTTTCCAAATCTTAGCAATGGTAATTGTGCTGTTATGAACATAGGGGTGATATATTTTTTCTCATTGGTGTTTCTACTTTCTTGGGATATATTCCGAGAAGTGGGATCACTGGGTCAAATGAGAGTTCCATTTTTAGTTTTTTGAGGAAACTCCATAATGTTCTCTACAGTGGCTGAATCAGTT